TAGCAGTAGTTCATCCCTGATCTGTACTTTAAAAAACAACACTGATATTTTGGCCTGCAAAGCAGAGTACTATCATCAGTGTGGCGAATATCAAAAGTGCTTTGAGTTAACTTCTGTGTAAGTTGAAAACTAAATTTTATACAAAAACATAGCTACACTTTATGATCAGTACTTTATCTGTCTGGATTTTTATGTTTTTCTTTTGCAGACTGCTTGAAAAAGATCCTTTCCATCTGAAAAGCACCTTAGTACATTTAACAGCAGCTATGGAGCTTGGCCATTCAAATGAGCTCTATCTTATGGCATGCAATTTGGTGAAGGATTATCCTCAAAAGTGAGAATAAACACGAGTCTGATGTTTACTCTCATAGACCTTGATAACATGCATGTCATACATTCTTTCTTCTGATTCTTTTATGTTGAAGATAATGCATAGATCGAATTTTAGTTTAAGCTTTGTTTATAATCAATCAGTCGTAGTTGTAAGGAAGAAATGGTTTCAACATAAAGTGATCATCAACAATAATGACTGATATATCAAGTTTAATTTATGGGAACTTATGTTCCTGAAACATTGTTTTTGGAGATGCACTTTTTGATATTTGCATTTAGAATTTACTTATTAGGACATCTGATCTGTAGGGCTTTATCATGGTTTGCTGTTGGTTGTTACTACTATTGTATCAAGAAGTATGATCAAGCACGCCGTTATTTCAGGTAAACATTTCGAAGTCCTGAAGGTGCTGAAGCTTCCTTTTGCATCTATTTTCCTTCAAAATGTGTTTATTTATTTATTTTATACTAGTTTCTTCAAATAAATATTTATTGTATATTATTAGGTGGTTGAGTTTAGTTAATCAGGAATTCTTTACAAACCAATTATGGATGTAATTTTTATTCTGTGCTCCTTCAATGAAACATTATGTTTATTTGATAGGCTTGATTTGGCATTAACATGATATTATTTTTTTGTTTAACTTTTATTTCTACACCAGCAAAGCTACTAGCCTAGATGGAGCATTTGCACCTGCTTTGATAGGTTATGGAAATGCTTTTGCCGCTCGTGACGAGGGTGATCAGGCAATGTCAGCTTATCGTACCGCTGCTCGGTTAATTCCTGGGTAATTTGTATTATTGTTATTCTATTTTATTTATTTAATCTTCCTGCAAAGTGATCACAATATAGGAACATGATGGTACTTTTCTTCTGTATTTGTAACTTCTTACTGGATATTTTTTCCCGTTTCTTTCTTTTTGGTTGTGAATTTCTTTATCTATACCTCCTTGATTTGATTATGTTGCTGGACTTTTCAATCTACTTACTTCCCATCCACCTTTATTTTTCCCCATGGTTTAAGATGTTGTAGGCGTCTGCTTGTGTCGATGCTCTGAATTCCTATATAATTTTGTCTTAATCTCTTTGTCAAAGTTAGCAAAGTGTTGTGATTAA